ATAATTTGATTGATAGAAATGCTAAAATAGATTCAAGTGAAATAAATGGAAATACATTTAATGATGTTAAAGGTGAAATTGAATTTAAAAACATACGTTTCAGATATCCAACAAGAGCTGATAATGAATTATTGAAAGGTATTTCATTCAAAGCAGAACAAGGGAAAACAATTGCATTAGTTGGAGCATCAGGATGTGGGAAATCAACCACAATTCAATTAATTGAAAGATTTTATGAACCAACAAGTGGAGAAGTTTTATTAGATGGGTATAATATTAAAGATTTGAATGTTAAATTCTTAAGAAATCAAATAGGATTAGTTGGACAAGAACCAGTATTATTTGCTGAAAGTGTTATAGATAATATTAAAAGAGGAGTGCCTGAAGGAGTTGAAGTAAGTAATGAACAAATTTATGCTGCTGCTAAAATGGCAAATGCACATGACTTTATTTCAGCAATGCCAGAAGGATATAACACAATGGTAGGTGATAGAGGTGCACAAATTTCAGGAGGACAGAAACAAAGAATTGCTATTGCACGTGCATTGATTAGAAATCCAAAGGTGTTATTACTTGATGAAGCTACATCAGCACTTGATTCAGAAAGTGAAAAGATTGTACAAGATGCACTTGACAAAGCATCAAAAGGAAGAACAACAATTATTATTGCACATAGATTATCAACTATTCAAAATGCAGATCAAATATGTGTTATTATGAGAGGAAAAATAGTAGAACAAGGAACACATCAAGAATTAATGGATTTGAAAGGAACATATTATACACTTGCTATGCAACAATTTGGAACTGTGAATTAATTCATATAAATATTAATTTAATCAATGTTTCATTTTATGTTAATGACTTAAAAGTATTTCTTCATGTTTTCAACTGGCAACGAAAAAAGCAAATAATTGAAAAAGAAGAGAATGAATGATATAAAAGAATAAAAAGAAAGTAAGAAGTAGAATATGGTGAAGAAAGAATAAAAGTAGAAATGTGAGTAGATAAAAAGAAAGAAGATAAAGTGTAATAAAACAAAAGAGATGATAAAAGAAGAAAAGAAAGAAAAAAAATAAAGGATGCAAATTTTATTGAAACAAATAAAAAAAGTGCAAAATTTAATGATGCAAAATTTAATGATGCAAAATATTTAGCAACATTTTTATTGATGCAAAATATTTTGAAATAAAAATAATTCATCATTTGATATTATTATATTTGATAATAAATTATATTATATATTAAATACATCATATTTCTTTATTATTTATCTTTCTTTTTATTATTTCATATATTAAATTATTATTCATTCATTTATTATTTATATTTCATTTATTAAATAAAATGAAAATGAAAATGTAAAATATCAATTAATTAAATATTCATGAATAATTTATTAATATTTAATAATTGAAATAACAAATAATAAAGTAACAATAATGATATATTCAATATATTCTTTATTTGATTTGTTCAATATTAGATTATTCTATTTCATTGTCATTTCATTGTCTTCATTATTTTATTTCATTATTTCATATTCATTTATTATTTTTTAAAATCAAATAAACAATAATATTGATATTCATTCATCATATTCATTTAATATAATAAATATACAAAACATTTCAGAATAAAGAATGAATAATTAAGAATGAAAATATTGATTTATTCAATATTTTATTCAACATAAAATCAATAAAACATATATTTTGATAATACACAAATGAAATAATAAAGAAATATACAATACTCAAGAATTAATAAAAAAGAAATAAAAAGAATAAATGAATATAAAATTGATAAATAATAGAAGAAAGAAATAGAAAAACAATGAAAAACAAATAATATAAAAAGAATATAAATATATAAAAGAATAAAAATAAAGTAGAAGAAGAATATAAAAATAATAAATCACAAAGATGTAATAAAAGAAGAAAAGAATGAAAATGGTGTATTTTTAATGTAAAAATTAGAAATATTCAATAAAAGTGTCTAATTTAATGATTCAAAATAATTAATATTGTTTTATTGAAAAAAATATTGTATTATTTTTTATGTTTATTATTTATATGGATAATTTCATCATGATGTTTATTATATAATCAATCATATGTGTTATGTTATTATAACATATAATAAGTAATAAAATATAAATGAAAATGATATGAATATATGATATAGAATATAAAATAAAAGAATAATAAGAATAAATGATAAATAAAAGGAGAAATGATAATCAATGATATAATCATAAAATCAAAGTATAAAAGATAAATTTAATATTAATATAAATCAAAAGAGAATAAATGATAAGAATATAAAAATGATAAGAATATAAAAATGATAAAGATGAATAAGCAAATAAACAAATACATTTAAATATAAAAGAATAACAATAAGAAAATCTAAATAATATAAACATAAAAATAATAAAATAAGAAGAATATAATAATATAATAATATATAGATAATAAGAAGATGATAGATAAATAATATAAACAGAGAAATAAATATAAAAATACGATAGATAAATAACATATAAATAAAAGAATATAAATAATAAAAATAATTAAATATGATTCATCAAATCATCTATTTCATTAATATTTCATACAAAATGAATACAAATGATTATAAAATATAAACATAAATATTTATATATTCTGTATTTATCATACTTTTTATTTTTTATTTATTTTTATTTTATGAGCAAAATATAATAAAGTGGAATATTCTATGGATGCAAATTTTTTTGCATCTTTTTTCTTTTTTGTAAATTATTTAGATGCATTATTTCTTTGCTAATTTTCGTACCCACTAAAACACAAATGTTATTCATGAATTATCAAAATTGAAATTTAAAATAATCTTAATTCAATATATATTTTGTACAACAAATCTAACTGAATAATGAATATATTAATGATTATTTATATACACAACTTATTTTCTATTTGTGTATTACCAAATTATTTCAATTATATTTAATGTTATAATGTATCAATATGTTGATACAATCATATATTCATTTCAAAATATTTATGAATATTATATTACAAGTATTTCATATATTTATTGTTATTTTTAAAATGAATAAAACAACAATATCGATAAATATGACAATGAAATATGAAATAAGAGTAATACAATAATATTTTATGAATGATAATACAAAATAACATAGTAATGTGAAAGAAGAATATATAAAATCAAATTAATTATCAAATATACTTCAACATACATTTAATGATTTTAATGAATGACAAAACATAATACTAAAATAAATAAATGTTTAAAACATAATACAATAAAATAATAATACATAAAATAAAATGATATAAAAAATATAAAATAATATAAGAAATCTAAAGAAAGAGAAATAAAGAAAATAATAAAAAGACTAAATAAAATGAAAAGAAATATATAAAGAAACAAATAAATAAAGTGAAATAATAAGATAAAGAATGAAATATTTTATAAATGGAATATTTTTATTTATTATTCCATTTAGTATTTATATTAATGTTATTCTATAATATTTTTTATTGGTTATATGATATTTTATATATTGTTTATTATTTAATAATAATTACATTATCTAAGTTTTGTTTTTGTTATTTATCATTTTATCATTTCATTTTCTTTATTTTTTATTTGTATTTAATTCTAAATGAATAAAACAATGTTTTGATTGTTATAATACCATTTTATTTATTATTTATGAAATGTTTAAACAAAAAGTAATAAAGTATTGATTAACGAATGAAATAAACAATTTATTCTTTTATTTCAATATTATTCATTAATACAATATTCTCTTTTACTATTGTTCATATGATTTAAATAAAATGAAATTGTATAGAAAATATAAAATAGAATAAACATGTTACTATTGATACATTCATTATTATTCAATTCTTTTATTTAAGTTGTTATTAGAAATCTTCTTTCTCAAAACATTCTTTTAAATTTTTCATATTTTGTTTTAATTCTAAACAACAACCACTTTCAAAGAAACAAAATTTCAAAATAATATCATTAGTGTTTGTACAATGAAATTAGTTAATGAAATACATAAACTAAAACAATAATATTCTATTTCTTTAATTGACTTTTATATTGATTGTTAATGAATCATATTTAATGAATCGACAATTCCAATTGAATTCCTTCTTGTAACATTTCATTTTTATATCCATCACATTCTTTATATTCTATATTTTTCTATCTCATTCATCTTTTTCTTTTAAATGTGTTGAACAATGATTTAAATGAAATGGATTTAAATAAAATTGTCACATTTCATTTAAATATTTTAAAGTAGACTTATAACTTTATTACATTAATTAATATCATCAAAAATCATTGACATTATCATTATTTCATTATGTATTATTTTCTTTCTTATTTTATTGTTTATTCTTTAATTTTCAATTCTTCTTTTGTTTTAATTTAACACGAGAACATATTATTTTATTTCATTTATAACATTAATAATGAAAATAACGTTTATTATTATTGATTCAATGATAATTAGTTATTAAAATAACAATGACATGCTTCTACAATTAATTTATTACAAATAATTTCATATTTAAAAATTATGTTGTTTATTTTATTCATTAACAATAATAAGTATAAATTTAATACTTATTAAATTTAATTATATTTTAATGTTTGATTTATTTGTATTTAATTATGTAATTAATTTTTGAAATGATTCAAACACTATTTATTTTTCTTTCATGAAATAAATCAATTCTCATTCTTATTAATGTCATATCCATCTTCTTTATTTATTGTTTGGTTCATTTCTTATTACTTTGGTATTATATAATTATTCAATTTATATAATATCCATTTCACAATGAATGAAATAATTGATATAATTGATATAATCCTATTTTTATTTGAATCAAATAGAAATAATGATGTAATTAACACTTCAGTTATTATCATATTAATAAAACAATGTTATTGATAAATAAAATCAATTAAAATAACAAAGATAGAGTGATGACATAAAGAATAATGAAAATACTTGAAGCATTATCCATATTATGTTGTTCGTTTTGTTCATCATGACTATTATTTGTTTTGTCGTCTGTTTTATTTTCAGAACTGGTGTCTGTTGTATTTGTAGTATTATTTTTCTTTTCTTCTTGATTTATTTGTTGTTTTTCTTCTGATTTATCCTTTCCATCTTGTCCTTTTGTTGTTTCGGTATTGTCTTTTGTTTCAGTTGTTCCACTTGTTGGTTTTCCACTTTGTTCATCTTTTGATTTTGTTCCAGGTTCTTTTCCTGCTCCATCAACAAAATTATCACCTTGTTCATTTTTACTGTCTTTTCCTTCTTTTTTCTCTTCTGTTCCTTCTCCATTTGTTTGTTTTTGACTATTCCCTTCTTCACCACTTCCTTGTCCCGACTTTCCACCTGCTGTTTCTTTTTCATCTTGTCCAGAAGTTTGTGTATTTTCTCCTTTTTCATCTTTTTGTCCTTCTCCTGCTGTCACTTGCCCATTTTGAGTTGTACCGTCTTGCACAGTATTTCCTTTTCCATCTATTGTATTGACACCACTTCCTTGTTGTTTATTTCCTCCTTCACTTGTTCAACTTGATTTGTCTGACTGTTTATCTGTTGCTGTTGAGTAACCAGTATGTGCTGTAGTTGCTGTACTTTGTCCTGTAGCAGAGTCAACCCCATTTTGTGTTTTTTGATTATCCTTTGTACCTGGTTGAGTTGCTCCTTGGGTATTTTGCTTGTCTGCTGTATTTGACTCTTTCTGGGATGTTGTTGCTGTATCTTCTCCTGATGTTGCTCCTGCTTCTTCTGGTACTACTGGTACAATTGAGTTTGTTGGTTGATCTACTTTCGTTTGTGCATTTTGTCCTTCGGCTTGTTTTTGACCTGATGGATTAGATGGTTCTTCTGTTACTTTGGATATATCTTCTCCCTTTAAATATATTTTATATTCTTTGTATGCTCTTTTATGTTTATTTTCATTTATTAGTGTATGTATTATTTCTCTATTACTTTCTTCTTGATTGTTCATACACTTTGTTGCATTACTAATTACAATAATCAATAGAAATATAAACATTGAATGAAATGAATCTAAGTTTTCTCTTTAAATATACTCTCTTCTTTTCTATTATTATCTTTTATTTTCTTTTTATTTCATATGACTCAATCATTTCATTATTCATTTCATCATATTCTTGTATCATTGTATTTTAAAATTCAATGATAAATAGAATGAAATGAATTATTAAATTAAAATTCATTTCAATTTTGTAAATCAATCAACAAAATTAAATAAATATCAACTTTAATAAAATAAATAATAAACAATAATAACAATAATAAAATAAAATGAATAATAATTTCAATTCATAAGTCAAATCATTATTATTTTATATTTTAATATTATCTGAATCAATCTTTTTGAAATGATCATTAAATTATGAACCTAAATGTTATTTTTGAAATTATTTGAAACAATTTGTTCAAATTAATTTAATTTCTTCCTGTTTTGAATTTTATTGAATGATTAATTGAATGTTATTTATTATTTTTGATATCACAATTATTTCGTAGTTCATAGACTAGAATTTTATTTATTATTAAACAATATTCATTAATTGGAGTTGTATATTATTAATCATTTCTTTAATTTTATTATTTCATTCACTTTTGAAACTTACTTATAATAAAAACAACAAGAACATTCAATTTAATAGGCAACGAAAATCACTTAATATCATTTTCACAATATTCTTTTATTTCTTTTTATTATTTAATCTATTTATTTTTGATAAATACTTTCAAATAAAATTATATTTTTATTTTGTATCTTCCAATTTCTTGACTTTCATTCATCTATTATTCAATTTTTAATATTTATACAATATAAAATAATTTAACTGAAAAGAAATGACATGCAATTCTTTATGATTATTACTATATACTTATTATTCAATAGTGTCACTATTTAATGTTTCATGTTAACACTCTATTTCTTTATTCATTCAAATATTACAAAAATAAATTTAGTATTTTATATTCATTTAATTAACTCGATTCAATATGAATATCAAAATTCTTATTCATTTCATTTTCTATTTAAATAGTGTAAAAACAATCATCATTTCATAATGAAATATAAATAACATGTATAAATATTAATCTATGATATCTTTATATTATTCTTTTAGCTTATTGTTAATTAATTTGACATTTGAATATTATTTGATTGGAAATATCAACTACTAAATAATGAAACATCAATTTTATGTTATATCTTTATCAATAATAAGTACTTCACCACATTTCATGTATTTTGAATATTAATAACAAAATTAAATAACAACGATATTAATAAAGAATAATAATCAGATAACAATATAAATAAATAAACTTGTTATATTAAATAACAAGATAATGAAATGAAAGATATAATGATAAACTATAATGACAAAACTGGTGAAAAGATAAATAAAATATTATAAAACAATTATTTTACTAAAAACAGTAACAGAATGTGTATTAAACCATTATGTCATTCTATTTATTATTTTGTTAAAAATTGAATTATTATTATAACTAAATACTCTCATTGATATTATTATCCATTATTTAATTCATTCATCATATTATGAAATATTTTGAAACAATGAATTAAAATAAACACATGTATTTATTGAAAACTTTATTGTTTTATTTTCATTTTAAATAAACCATAACTAAAATATTTCTCATTATTAATACATTTATTATGAAATAATACATACAATCCTTGCAACAAATTATATTGATTCTTTAAACTTATTCATTGAATATTTCAATGTTATTGTTTCTTTTTACAAATAAAATTATATCTTCAATCAATTCTATAAAATAATTAAATAATAACGTACTTTCATACAACATCATGTCTTATCCTTCTTATTATTTCTTATTATACAATTCAATTTTCATTTTATTATTATAAAAACATCAATAAACTTATTCTATTTATTGTTTTAAGTGATATTCTTTTATGTACTCACTCTATTTATTTTGTATTTATGATACATCATCTTCTTTTTTGCTTTTTCTTTATTTTCTTCAAGTATATTTTATACCATTTTTATGTTCTTCATCTTTCTTCTGTTTCTATTCGTTGTATCACAGTCTTATTATTTCTTTTAGTCGAGTTTATTATTTATTTCTATGTTATTCATTCTTCTGAATATTCTGGATGAATTATATTTCTTTGCTTCTTCCATTCATCAACTAAACTTTCACTCATAAATCTACACTCATTATATTCTTTCATTCGAACTATCTGACTAGTGCATTTATTGGAGAATAAAATGAGCCAAATTATCAGATGTGAATAATAATAGAATGGTGGATGGAAAACACAGTTTATTATTTGAAACTGGAAAGAAGAGGTTGCTCAAATTGACAAGGGTGATGATAAAATGAAAATGGCTTAACAATATTCCATATGTGTTTGAAGTTAATTGTTTATAATTCTGTCGGGACTAAATCAGTTTACTCGGAGATTTCATAGAAAACAGTACAGAGAGAATTATTGTCATGAGTAACGCCATAAAAAACACTCTCTTCAGTAACAAACAACATCTAATGATTAATCAAAAACGTATTTGTAATATTTTATGGATTGCAAAAACACAAAATCTAAATTCACAGCAACGTTATATATAACACAAATTAATAGGGTTTTTGAAATAGAAAAAGAAGAAAAGAAAAACAAATGAAAAGAACGCAAAGTATATTCAATGACAAAAGAAAACAAAAGAAACAAGTTGGAGCGGAAGAGGGACGTGCAAAGAAATGGTTTGAACAACGAATTAAACAAAAGAAAGACAAGTACAATATCAATGAAGAATCAGAAGAAGAGGAAGAATTTACTCATGAAGGAGTTGCATTGTCAAAAAGTAAGATGGGATATACAGATGTTCCAGTTGGAGTGATTGAAGAAGACACAGAAGACACAGAAGAAGAAAAGACAGATATGACAAAGAAAGGAAGATATGCGGAAATTATTGAAAAGTCAAAGAAAAGAAAAGCGGAGAAAGCAATTGAAAGACAAGAACAAGAAGAAAGACTTGAATTTTTAAATGAGAATATTGAAGATATTATAGGACATGTTAGCATGAGACAAAGTGGAGATGATAATTTTGGAGATGAATATGTAGAATTACTTGCTAAAATGCAAAATGAAAAAACACGAGCTGTTGGAGCAGACATAGAAGAAGATGTTCATGAAGCAAGAAAGAAGAGAATTCAAGAAGAAATAAATAATATAGAAGAACGAATTAATAAAATAGGAGAAGGAGGGATTGTTGAGAAACATAGAATTGGAGAAGGAAGTGAAAAACTGGAAGATGAAGAAGATTTAATTAAAAGAATTGAAAAAGAAGATATTAGAACAGTAGTTTATAAAATTGGAGATAAAGAAGAATGGGGAAAAGAAATAGAAAAGCAAGAAGAATTAGCGGAACAAGCAGTTATTATTTTAAAAAGTGTTGAAAAGATAGGAGTATTAAAAACAACAGAAGCACTTCAGAGTTTTATAGGAGAAATATATAATAGAAGAAAAGAGATGAGAATGATGATTGTAGAAGTTATAATTGAAGGAATTGAATGGAAAGAAGATTTAAGAACATTAAAAGAAATAGGAGTAATTAGTAAAGTATGGTCTAGTACAGATTTAGGAAGTATGATTACAATGAAAATAATGGAATATTTAGGAGGACTTTTTTATGGAGTTAGAGTTGAAAAAGAAAGATTTGTACTTCAAAGTATTGGAGCAATTATTGGAAGTGAAATAAGTGAAAGAAGATATATTCCGGAATTAATTGGATGGATAAGGAAAGGATATTTAATAGTAAAAGATAGTAAAAGAAAGAAAGGAATAAAAGTAGAAGAAGCGATTACATTAGAAGGAGAAGAGTTAAAAGGATATGTTAAAGATATAATCATTCAAATAGTAGAGAAGATGATAGGAATGAATAGAAAAGAGATAAATAGTCGAATGGGATTAAAAGAAATAATTGAAAGTATGAAAGGAGATGAAGAGTGTAAAAGGATAGTAGAAGAATGGAATAAAGAAGAAGAGAAAATGAAAATTCAAGTTACATTAGTTGAAAAGAAAAATGTTGGAATGATTAAAATGTTTAATCCAAGACTACATGAAGTTGATTTACAAAAAGAAGTTAGAGAAGTAAAGAAGAAGATTAAAGAAGAAGCACGTAAAGCATCTAAAATTGAAGAAGGAATTACACAAAATATTAGTGATATGAAACGATATGAAGAAGAAATTGAAAGACAAAAACAAAAGAAAGCATATGGAAAGATTCTTAATGAATTACAAGGACAACAAAGTGAATGGAAAAAGTTTGATAAAAAGAAAGGAAAACAAAATTATAAAAAGAAAGTACGATATTAACATAAGTTAAATATTTAATTGATTGAGAAAAGCTATAAATTTAATAAAGAAGATTAAAATTAATTCTTGTTTTTTTTTAATTATTGGAATAAATAAAAGAAGAATGAGTAAAATTTATTTATTCTTTTCCTTTCTTTGATTCTCTTTTATTTTATTTTGTTTATTATTCTTTTTATTCCTTAAAAGTCTTTATTATATCTATTCTATTAATGAATATTTAATTGTTAAGACAAATTATAGATAGAATAAATAATAATATCATTATTCAGTCGATATAAAGCTTTTCTTTGTTAAGTGATTTTCATACATTCATTCTAATTAAAATGAAAATAAAGATTATGAGAAACATATTCAATTATTGGCTGAATAAATTGTGGTTCTTATCTATTTTAATAATTAGAAGTATCAGATAGAATATATATAATTGTAGAATATAAAATATTTATATTCAAACAAAAGACTATATGATTCATAGTGATTTATAATGACTGAATTATGTACTAAACACACAGAATGAATATAAAAGAGAAATAAACACAAGAAAGAATAAAATAATAATCAAATTATATGAATATTGTAATTGATTGAAATACAAAAATATTTCATTCATATTTATTAATAGAACATATCATATTTAATATTTTATCATACACAATACATTGTATTATATTAGAAAATACATAAAATAATCAATAATAATAAATTTACATCATTTGACATTATTATTGATTCTTTGTTTTTTTATTTCTTTTTTTTTGTTTCAAATTAAACATAAATAATCAAAATCATTCCACTTCAATTACAATGATTCGTTGTGGTATGAAACGGCACTTACCACAAAATGGATTTGATATTCCTTTATAATTAAATGACCATTGAGAACAATATGATTCTGTTTTATAGATTTCTTTACAAACACTAATATCTCTTCCAGTTCCAAAAACAAACAGTGCAAAGTTATAGTATTGGGTGTCATAATAAAATGCTTCGTGGTACTCATTAATGTCAAACTTCATCATTTCTTTTAATCTTCCTTTCGATTCTAATGAAAATACAAATGCATTTGGGTCAAGTATATAACTTTCTTCTTCTGTGCCAATTTTCTCATTAACATATCCTCCAAATATGTTTCCTTCAGTGTCTTCAACAATAAATATTAGATGTTCTTTATTCTTTATTCGTTCTCCAAATAATGTTTTACCTCTATTCCAATTATCAATATTTGAATCAAATATAATATCTCTTATTCGTTTCTCAGTCCATTCTTCTAGTTGTTTAATTATTTGTTGTGTTTTATTTGGATTGTGTTGTTCTTTGATTTTAACATTGTCATCCTTTAACTCTTTTGTTTTTCGTTCGTTTTGCTCGTTGTTTTTATCTCCAGATTCTTTTCTCATTATTTCACTGGTTTCTACTGTCATTTCGTGTTTCTCTTCTCTTAGTTCAATGTTATTTTTGATTGACTTCATCTTAGGTATTGTTTTTTGTTTATTTTAGTTTCTTGATATTCCTCAACTTTCAACTAAAAAATATCAAAAATAAAAATTAGTTAATTAAGTATTAATAGAAATTTCATCTATTCTTCCTTGCTCAGCAGAGACTAATCCCATTCTTGAGCTGTTTTTTTAAAGAATAATCTTTTTGTTTAATTTAATCTTTAGGTTTGTCTAAGAAAATGAGAAAAGAACTTCTTTGCTTTATTTCTTTCTATTAATGTCTTCTCTAACTTTTTCTAACTTAGTCCTTCTTTTTAATCATTTGTTTATTTTCTGATTTAATTTTAAACATTTTCTTTTTCCTTTTTTTTTATGAATGAGAGAAGAGAGTATTTCATTCCTACTATATTATTATGTTTAATTCCTTTGGAATTAACCACAATTTAGCAAATCCTTTTTCTTAATTAATACCTTCATATATTTCTTAATTTCTTTATTATTAAATACCAATTCTTATATTACAATAAGTAATATTCAACCATAATATATTGATGCACAATTTGCAATATTAAATAATATATTTCTAATTCAAATACACTATCATAACCAAATAATAACTGAGAGTGTCAAAACATGCAATGTATTAGTGTGTGAATGATGTTTCATATGTGTCTCATTTTACCTATCGTTTCAACTCAAAAGTATCAATAATAAATTACTGAATAGTCAAAGAATGAAGAAATTAATAAGAGACAGGAAGTGAAGTTGTAAGTAAATACATAACTAATTTATATTTAATTATAATGAGAAGTGATTCTTTTCATAGTTCAAAACAATACATGAATATTGGAAATGGATTAGTACGGTATGTTCTAGATAAATTCATCTAAAAAGGATTTTTATTATTGAAAAAAGAGAAAATGAGAGTCGGCATCTGAAATAGAAATGCAATAACACAAAGGTTCAAGTGTTTTGTCTCATAGATATTCATTAATCAATTCAAATGACATTGAATGAGAAATTGGAGAAAATTAAAAAAGAAGAATGTTATTAACAACAAAGAAAATAGTGAGATTTGAATATTATGATAAATCCTCAAATTGATATACTTCTAAATGGCAACGAAAAAAGCAAATAATTGAAAAAGAAGAGAATGAATGATATAAAAGAATAAAAATAAAGTAAGAAGTAGAATATGATGAAGAAAGAATAAAAGTAGAAAGGAGAGAATATAAAAAGAAAGAAGATAAAGTGTAATAAAACAAAAGAGATGATAAAAGAAGAAAAGAATGAAAAAAATAAAGGATGCAAATTTTATTGAAACAAATAAAAAAAGTGCAAAATTTAATGATGCAAAATTTAATGATGCAAAATATTTTGAAATAAAAATAAATCATCATTTGATATTATTATTATATTTGATAATAAATTATATTATATATTAAATACATCATATTTCTTTATTATTTATCTTTCTTTTTATTATTTCATATATTAAATTATTATTCATTCATTTATTATTTATATTTCATTTATTAAATAAAATGAAAATGTAAAATATCAATCAATTAAATATTCATGAATAATAATTTATTAATATTTAATAATTGAAATAACAAATAATAAAGTAACAATAATGATATATTCAATATATTCTTTATTTGATTTGTTCAATATTAGATTATTCTATTTCATTATCATTTCATTGTCTTCATTATTTATTTCTTTTATTATTTATTAAAAACACATTGAGTGTGAATATTTCAAATGAAATTAAATCAACAATGAATTATGTCAATTTTTAATTCACCATTTCATTCATTAGCAGATGAATGAAATGTTAATATTCTTCATTGTTTTGTTTTTATTCTTTTTTAGTTCATTTTCAATTATTCAAGATTTGAACCATTTCATTTCAATTACTATGATTCGTTTTGGTGTGAAATAACTATTTGGCCATTCTTTTCCACAAAGTGCATTTTCAATTCCATTATATTCAAATGAATATTGTTTACAATATGAATTTGTTTTATTATTTTCTTTATAAACATCAATATCACCTCCATATCCATATCCAAACAAACAATCATCTGATCGTTTACATAAATAAAATGCATCTTCTGGGGTTTTAATATCAAATTTTATCATTCTTTCAATTCTATTTGATTCTAATGAAAATACAAATGACTGTGAATCATATATCCATTCATCAACTCTATCAATTTTAGAATTAACATATCCTCCAAATTTATTTCCATCTGAATCTTCAATAATAATTATTATATGTTCTTTATTCATTATTCTTTGATTAAATACTGATGTATTAACTTTCCAATCATCAATATCTGAATCAAATAATATATTGAATACTTTTCTATTTGTCCATTCTTCTAGTTGTTTGATTTGATGTTTTGGTATTATTTCATAGTCGTTATATTTCACTTCTTTAGGTATAATACAACTTTCTTTATCACTCATTGATGTAATGTTTCTTTCATTCACAACTATGTCTCTTGATTTGTTTAAGAAATGTATTTGTTTTTCATATTGAGTCAAGCATTCTGTCATCATTTCTTCTTCAACTACTCCTCTAATTAATTCTTTATTTTCATTGCGTAGTGTTTGAGTATTTTCAAGAATATCTTCTATCATTGAGTCATGAAAAACTATGCTTGTAGTAGTTGTTTCAATTTCATTGCCTTTTTCTTTTAGTCTCTTGTCAATATCCTTATGTGCTTGTTTTGCCTTTTCTTTCACTTCTCTTATCTTTTCAACAGTCATTGTTTCAAGTTTGTTTATTTGCTCTTTCATTTTTTCTACAATTTCATCCTTTGAATATAACATTATCACAGACATTTCAATGTCATTCATTTTGTTTTGGAATTGATTGAGTTGTTGTGAAAAGTTGTCTTGTTGTTTGATGAAATTTCCAATGTATTTGTTAAGATAAACAGAAACTAATTTCTCTATGTCATATGAAAGTATTCTTAAATTCTTATTGTCAAAACCATCGAATATAAGTGAAACAGTCTCATTCTGTTGATGTTGCATTATTTCTATTATCAGATTATTGAGAATTAAACCCTTTTTTAATTCGTATTTGATTGGTCATTTTTATAAGTTTTTGTTCTATTTCTTTCTCTATTTTTCGTTATAAATCAAAGGTGTTATGTCTAAAACACCACACAAACCCTAGTACAAATTCAAGCATCGACACTCCCAGTTATTATCTGGTTATGACAGTGTATTTGAATTAGGAATGTATTAGGTAAAGTTGCAAAGGGTGTAGCAAGATATTATGATAGAATATTACATGGTGTAATATAAGGAAGTACTAAAGTGTGGGTAAGGCTAAAAGAAAATTAAACATAATAATATAATGGGAATGAAATAGTCTCTTCTCTCATTCATAAAATAAAGAAAAAAGGAAAAAGAAAATGTTTAAAATTAAGATAGAAAATAAACAAAAGGTTAAAAAGAAGAAATAAGCAGAAGAAGGATGAGAAGACATTAATAAGAAAAAATAAAGCAAAGAAGTGATTTTCTCAGTTTGCAAGAAAAACA